GCCAGGCCACCAGTATCTTACTCTAAGCTGTTGCTTCGTTCTGACAATTCCTGGGTGGCTTTTATGAGCCAATTGCACAAGTCTGTTGCACATTAATATAGGAATGGTGACTTTATCTTCGCAGAAAACTAAACTTTCCAGGTTGCCACAAAGTTCCGGTGGCAGAGATTTTTTATCTGGCCACTCATTAGCAATGATTGCAAGCCCATGCTGCGATGTAGCATCTTCAGCAGTTGCTGCCTGTAGGTCAGCTTTGCTTATACAAGGAGTAATGAGAGAGATTATTTCTTCTTCCGGCTCTGGACAGACTAGAAGCTGTAAAGGTAAACGAGAAAGTGCATCCACCACAACATTATGTGAACCCTTGCAGCACTGTACAGTGAAGTTGTAGTATAACAATCTGGCACACAAGCGGGAAATGCGTAATGGGCGTTGGCCCTCTGATCCAGCAGAAAGCAACGTAACTAGAGCTTGATGATAAGTGGGCAATGTGAAATGTCTACACCATAAGCAGTCATGCCATTTTTCACAAGCAAAGAGGCAGGCCAGGACTTCATGCTTACCAGCAGAGTATCTGCGTTCAGCAGGAGACACAGTTCTCGAAGCAGAAGCAATTGTAATTTACTGGTCACCTTTGAGTCGGTGAAACACGGCACCCAATCCTATGTTGCACGCATCAGTCCTAATTACTATTGGAAGCTTCTCGTCAAAAAGTTGAGTGACTGGGTTTGCAGCTAGTATTTCTTTGATGTTGTTGAAAGCCAAATTAACTTCCTTGGACAAATTGAAATTTTGGCCTTTACACAACATGGAACACAGTGATTCAATAACATTGGCATAATGCAAAATGAACTTTGACTAATAGCCAGCGAGAGCAAGAAATGAATGCAAGGTTTTAAAATCTGCAGCTCCAGGTGCATTAACAATAGCATGCACTTTGGATTCAAGAGGAGACAATTCTCTGGCACTGACATTGTGTCCTAAAAATTGAATTTTCTTGACAGCAAAGACACATTTGTCATTCAATCATTTCTGTGTTGCTTATGCGTCTTAGTACAACTTGTAAATTAGTATCATACTCAGCATGCGTTCGACCCCAGACCAAAATATCATCGAAGTAGCACAGTATCCAGAGCAATCTTTCAAAATGCCTGACATCATTTTCTGAAAAAACAGCAGAGGCAGATGCAAGCTCAAATCAAACTCTATGGAATTTGAATAAACCATCATGTGTTACAAAAGTACTCAAGTCTCTACTTGATTCTGACTAGTTAACCTTATGGTACGCTGATGCAAGATCTAGCTTTGAAAAGTAAACAGCACCTGCAAGTTGCTGGAGAAGTTTTTCAATATAAGGTAGGCGAAAACCATCAACCACAATATCTTTGTTTGGTGGTTCAAGCAAGTCGACACAAAGTCTTAAGGAACCGTTCTTTTTCTTCACCATGACCAGTAGACAGACCCAATCTGATGCTGAAACACGTTTGATGACGCCTGCTTTTTTAAGACGAGAAAGTTCATCGTAGACTTGTTGTTGAAGCAGGAATGGCAATCTGCGAAGTTTGGCAGTGACTGGCTGCACACCTGTATGGCGTTTCACTTCGTGCATGTAGCCTTTCACCAGCCTGAGCTGCTGGGTGAAGAGCTGATGAAATTCAGAAGGAGCATTCGCCGGAATCCTTGGGGTTTCTGAACCTGAAACTTGTGAGCAGGACAATGTCGCACTGTCGATGGTTAGGTGGAGGCTTCGAATGGCATCCAGCCCAAGGAGTGAAGAACCCTCTTTGATCATGTAAAATGTGACAGCAGAAACGGTATCACTGTACCGAACGTTTGTAGAGAAGTATCCGAAGTTGGGAATGCATTTCTTCTAATAGTCCGGAAGAACAATATACGAGTCAAGTAGTATGGTCCCCGAAAAGTACTTCATGAAATCTTGTAAATTAAGCAATGATGCGGTTACACTTGTGTCAACCAGGAAAAGAATGTTGACTTGACCAACTTGAACAGTAATCTTCAGCGGCGAAGGATGGCTGGATCATTCATCAATATTTATGATTGTAACTGTGTTTGTTACAGCAGTATCTTGTACTTCAGCTACATTCAATTGAAACGTGCTGACATTTGATGAGCAGCATACAGCTGGGTAGTGACCTCATTTCCCGCAGGCAGGACAAGTACGGTTGCGGGCTGGACTATTCGAAAAATTCGCGTAGTGTTAATGAGATCCGCATCTGTAGCAGATACCCAATTCAGATCGGTGTGGTCCATTCTGGTGGCTTGAAAAATTTGATGTAGTAGGATGAGAGTCATGATGCTCGCGGCCATGTTGGCTTCCTGCCGAGTTCTATCAGGTAGGCTATCGGCCATACTTTTGTTTTTGGCGGCCATCTTGTGGATCGGGATGTAATCCGATCTTCTCAACTTGTGCATTCGCGAATTCCTGCATCTAGAGTTCGGTACGCTCCTCTTTCTTCGCAATTTGAATTGCTCGCTGTAAAGCAAGTCGGCAGAACCCAGTTGCTAGAGTCGTCTTCGCACATTTTGTGCGGTTATTTCGCTGAACAGCTGATCGCCGCTGACCATGGAATTGGCGGAGGTGCCGAAGTTGCATTTGCTCGCCATTGCCTGTAAAGCAGAAACGTAGTCAGTAACTGATTCCCCTGATACTTGCTTTCACATTTTGAAGTAGTGACACTCTAGGACTTCATTGCTTGGAGCTTTGAAATGGTTCTCTAGCAGAGCGAGTGCTGCGATGTATTCATCCTGCGAGCCTGCGTCTTGGGTGCCGTCTCCGCTTTCCGCCTGTTCCTGTGCATTTCGTAGTGTCCAGTAGACATCAAGGCCCTCAACTCAGAGTGTGTTAAGTAGTAGACTCTGCTTGAGAGCGGGCCGGGTGGTGTTTCCGGCGGTGACGTCGACATACACCTAAAAGACACGGCGCCATTTGGCCCAAAGCACAGGAGGAGCACCCGGAATTTGCAAGAATGGCAGAGGAGCAATCGCAGAAGTCATGCTAGAGCGTTGAGGCACTGAGGAGTCACCAGTATGCGTTGGCGAGTCACTGGTGCCAGCAAGCATTGGCCAAACATGCAGGGGTGGCCGCAATAGCACTGTAGACCTAATGCATTTGCAGCGTGCAAGTAGAGCGGTGCCCTGTAAGGGCGCACGAAAAAGTGACAGTCTGGGTAGAAAATCGACGCAGAATTCCAACGAAGTACGTGGCTTACTTTTTTTTCATCTTGTCGCCAGTTTATTGTATCATCATCGGGGCACCATCCGACAGAAACAATGTGTGCATTAGGGCCGGAGTGCTGCAAAGAACGTCACGCTAGGCCAAGAACCGGGAGGGAATATTATTGAGAGAGAGCGCATTGGCGCGTAACAATGTTTGTCAATGTAGCCGTTCTGTGGCACCATGCGACACATCCCATCGAAACCGAAACTGATCGGAGGTCCATGAAATGCCCGACACCACAGTTATCTTGCCTACATGCTACGTGCCCAGCCCATAACCATTTCTTCTTTTTGATTTCAACTATGATATCCTTAACCCCTGTTTACGCCCTTACCCACTCTGCTCACTCCGTATCTCACTCCCGGAATTGAAGTAAACTGTGTTTGAAGGAATCACTGCTTGAAGAGCTGTACGATGATGAAAGGCTTCTTTCCCACAACAGTGCATGAGCAATGCATGTATTGGACAACATTTTGTAACTGCCATTTCATAAAACAATGTGAAATGGCAGTTAAAATTAAAGAAATCGTGAAGCAAGTGCTGCCATCTGTGAAGCGACACACAAACTAGCTTGGATGCGAGTGAGTCTCAATCAAAACATTCACGGGTAGATACAAAAGTATGTTAGGAAGGGAAAGATGGAAGGTTGCAAGAAAAAATTCATATACAGGACTTGTGTGCTAGATTCAGCGTTTCTCATCTTTTAATTCAAGGCTAGAACAATGCAGTTCTGGCCTTGAAGAAGACGAGTCCACTTGTTGAAATGTCAGCTGGAGCACGCAATCCCTGATTATGTATTTTTCTATCATGGATAGATATTAGTACGTGGACAAGTGAACAAGCCACATTCATCCAAATTGTTGCAGGGGTTAAAGGTTCCGAGTCTCAAACTGTAACCATCTGACAACAACTTGCACTCCATTATATAATACTTGTCCGTAAAATCTCATAGCCATAAAGCCTTGGTTTATTACTGTCCAGGTACTGCAGCATATTGCTCAAAATGTATTGAATACAGTGCTTATAGTGGCCACATTTACTTTGATATTTTGTCGTTTAATATGGAGACCTGGGCTGGAACGCATGTTATTTGCCAGACTCTCTGAGCATTTCTGCATTTTCAGGATTTTTTAAAGAATGCGAATAGTAATGTGATGCAGCAGAGAAAATGGGTGTGGCCACTACCACATCATGTTTGCTGGGCGCATGTTTGGCCTTGGGTGTAAATACAGCATCTCTCTATCATGCATTGGTAGCTTGTTTGTCCACTAGTGTGGCCAAATACAAGCAGCTTGTCATGTGACACTTCTTCATATATGACACGCTTTTTGTTGCCTTGAAGAGTAGTTGTCATCATGGAAAGAGGTTATATTTTTCAATTGACTCTGCAACTTTTCCGTCGAAGATAAGGTGCCAGTTCAACAATAATTTTGATGAATTACCTGAGTGCATAGTTGTCATAAAGGGCCTTGAACATTACAAACTTAGCAACATTCTTGTAATGTGCTCATAAAATTTGATTAACCTTGTTACAGCCAAAGTGTTACAATCTTGCATGACAACAGTGCACAGTCAATAGTGGATCTACTGCTTCATGCACATCCAGTAAAACGCCATCCTACTCACCATTTTCTCTAATGTAGCACACTGCACTGCAAAATTAAATGCATAACCATGTGAATATTCAGAAAATGTAGTTTGTTGGAGCTTCTGTTCATTGTTTATTGGCAGTGTAGTTGATGTAGTTCTTATTCGCTTCCAGGTGGCACTGCAGTTCCCTGATGGAATGCTGGTCAACTCTGTGAGCATCACCCTGGCCCTCCAGGCTAGTGTTCCAGCTGAACTCTTCATCCTGGGTGACACATCCTACGGAAGGTGCATGACAGTTTCTCTAGAGTTGACTTTTCTTCTCACACTTATGGAGCAGTGCCACCCTAGAAGACGAGTTTAGGGTGGCACCAAAAGTTTCCAGGCTAGTCTTTTTTACTAGAAACCGCTTTATTTATCTGCATACACACATTTTTGCATTGAAAGCAGTTCACACTGTACAATTGCTTGTGGCACGCTGACTTCCAAGGAAAGTAGGTGCACCCTTTTGCAGTGTGTTCCAGAAATGCACTGCATCTCTGCAAGAACATCAGAATGATGATTTATAAGCTGGCTATTCAACTTCATGAAGATAATCCCATCTGCACCAAACAAATCTGAAGTGTACAAAACATGAAGAAGAGTATTGTGTCTCACGAAAAACTCACGTGTGAGGATAGACATTGGGGTTATGGACCATCTAGGATGCATATGTATCTGTAGTCGCCGAATATCCTCTTTCAGTTACACTAATTAAAACTTGCAGCATGACTCGCTTTTCATGGTCTCAGAGCTGAGGACAAATTTTGGTGCATGATGCCCTGAATGTAGAAAAGGTGATAAATAGGCTTGTGTGAATAATCTTTTGAATGCTTCGAATGTACGAACTAATAGTGAAGTACTCGAATTTGTTTTGGTTCGAATTTAAAAGATTGAAAATGTCGAAGTATTTGCAATGAACGAATAGGTGTATAGTAATCCGCATGTAAGAGCCTGTAAAGGAAGTTTAACTGAAGTGTCAAAGTGTTAAGCTGTGAAAGCACCCATCCAGTAGAAATCTGCCTTGCCGCGAAGCCTTTCTTAAAATTTAAAGGGGCCCTACAATACTTTTTGAGCATGGTCAGAAAACGCTGCCGATCTGTAGTCGAGGCTACCGGAAACATGCGAGCCAAATATTATAGCGCAGCACGCATCCTGCAATTTACAATAAATTCTCAAAGCCAGCTGCAAATTACTCTCTTCTCTGGGCAAATGAAATCAGAAGCTAAAAATCACTCGTCACAGCCATTGCATCAGCCATTGGCTGATTTGAACATGGCGCACTTGGTTGTCACTGAGGCCGTAGCGGGAGGCCGCGACCTGTCCACGCGTGCGCGCTCGATCACACTAAAAAGCCGTGTATTCGAATAAAAAAAAAAAAGGTGCTCAAGGTCATAAGGCGCACATGACTTAGTTTCTTTCTCCATGCCATCTCTCCCTGCTTAGCTTCCAGCGCTTTCGTCGGGACAAGAAGGGATAATGCAATTGCAGCGTGTGACAAATCTTTGCAACTCCGCTTGTTCTGAATAGATGGATTAATTAATTAATTAATTAACTTTATGTGAAGTTCGACAGCGTCCTCCGGGAGAGGCGTGCAGAAGAGAAATTAATCCCTGTCACTTCTTACCCTTTGTCAGTTATGATGGCGTTGCCTTAGATAACCGCTTGAAAGTCCTTGGACCCGTGCGGCATCTGATTCTGAAAATTTTTGCGGCGGTGAATTCCTAAAACAATAGGCTTCTTTAGTAAATACATTCTACGGCTACTTTAAAAAGTGTTGTAAGGCTCTTTTAAATGAATATGTAGCCCTCAAATCAATTCATCATTTTATTAAGCTTAGAAGCTTGTTATGATGGCTTATATGCTCTTAGTATAATAAGTTTTATAAATGTTACATATTTTACAGGTTATCACCAGCATTCTACAGAAACTCGAGTCCCGCTACTACTCAAGGTTGTTCAGACTTCTCTTGAACGAAAAAAAACCAAAATGACATTTCCATAAAGCCCCTATTTCAATTTGAAAATTGTGCAGGTCATGATAAATATTGCCACGTTGCTTTCCTCAACTTTTGTTATCACCCTGTCACACTACGTTCAGCCATAGCCTCCTTTATTTTCTGTGCCTGCGCTTTGCCGCCGGGATCAAAGGGAGCCGACCGTCAGGCTGAGTTCCCGCAATCACCACCAGGCGGCGCTGCCTTCCCAGAACCGGCAGAGCCTGTTCACTGACTCCGGTGCTACCGCCGGCACTGACGGGTGGGTCCTTCGTTGCGCGTTTGTAAGCGCGGCAAGCTTAAAAAACAAAAGTGTGATACCACTTTCGTGTGCCACTTAAATATTTAGGAGAGAACATATGCAAGAGAGAAAGAATAAGTACGCAAGATAGCACATTGAACAGAACACCATACCTTCAAGGAAACGGTAGAGAAACTTGTTTATTGCGTATTAATTCATTCGCAACCTGCGGAAACGAACAAGAGGGCGTCGATCGAAACGTTCCTCACACGCACACAGTCTGACGAGCTTTAGTAGCCTCGTTGACACTGTTCACAAGCAGCAATCATAATTTTAGCAATCACAATTTTTTTTTTCTGATCGCCGCGTCACTTCTCGGGGCTTTTGTCGAAGGCTGCAAGAAGCGCGGATATTCTTCGAATGCGCTAGGCACCACACCTTTCATAAGCCTTCGTGTTTTACATCCTTGCTTAAAATCAGAAGCAGCGAAATGACGACTGCACACGGTTGAGTAGCAGGAAGTGGTGTTCGGCGTCCAATTGTCTCGTGAAATGACTTTTATCCACTTTTGCCGCAACTCCTCGTCGCTTGGAATTTCGTGGAATGAAATTCCTACTTCCTTCTTTTTGCTTGAAGACTTGCAACCGGGCACGCAACATTACGCCATCGCACCTGACGCGGGTCATCACAGCCGAATGAACCACGGAGACTTGTGTGCGTAGGCCGCTGCACGAGACAGAAACGAGAGAAACCGTAAACTAACATTCCTGATTACTTAGCGAAATTCGCTGATAGGTGCGCGGAAAAGCCTCACGAGAAAGAAGCGCGAAAAATGATAGCAAAGCATGAAACCAGCCCTGCAAACACAAGGTGCAAACGACGTTGTTTGTTTACACGCACTCACTTATTGCCGCGTGTCATCTGTTCACGCAACACAATGAAGCAACAGTTAAATATCATACTTGCTGAAAGTACTACGCTGCGAAGATAGGTGCGCGGAAAAGTATTGCCAGAAAGAAGCGCGAAAAATGATAGCCGCGCTTGACAACGGCCGTGCAAACGCGGGGTACAAACGACGTTGTTTGTTTATACGCACTCAGTTAATGCCGCGTGTCATCTGCTCACGCAACACAATGAAGCAACAGTTACAATTATACTTGCTGAAAGTACTACGTACCGTTTTGGTCGTAAATAATTGGTGTTGCAAACGTATGCGACACGAACAAAGGTTTCCTGGAGATGCGTCGCCGCGGCTGAATGCGCCGACTCGATTCTGGGATGCGAGCGCCCCTGGCGGATAGCCGACGCAAAAAGAGAGGAGGATGCGGGAGGCGGCCGAACGGGCCCGGCGGACTGACTGCGCGGGCACAGAAAATAAAGGAGGCTATGGTTCAGCGCAAACTGTGCCTACTATATGTTCCAGAAGCTTCGAGGTTTTGGTAGATCGTTTTGCTAAAATTACGCCCACATCGGGAACGTCACAGATTATTCGGGAATCTATGTCGCCGCTAGCGATAACGATACAATATTCGATGGCAATGGTATGAATGCCGACACGATTTGTCACTTTTCAGTTGATTGACGGCCGACGCTCTGTTCGCTGCTGTCAGTGCCAGTGTTTTACTTTTCTTTTACGTGGCCACAAGTTCAGCACGAATAAACAGTTCCTTCTTCGACCTGGAGTCTGCTCCCTTCGTTCACGTCACGACCTTGTGACATCTGGTGGAGGTGCTGCTTCGTATTGCTGCACCACAGCCCGCGATTGTGCTGCAGCAGCCAAGGGAACGACCTACTTTCCACGGGTCATCGTTCAAAGTCTCGGAGACCTGGCTAGAGACCTACAAACGAGTGGCTGCCCTCAACCACTGGGATGCGGAAGAAAAGCTCCAACGTGTCTACTTTTCTCTGGAAGATGTGGCAAAAACCTGGTTCAAGAATGGTGAGTCTGCCCTTCAAACGTAGGATTCTTGCTGCGGTGTATTCCTGCAAACGTGTCGTCACTTGCAAAGAGAAGGACGCTGCGTTGCTGGAGACCCGGGTGCAGCTGCCCAATGAAAATGTCACCATTTTCACAGAGGAAGTGACCTGCCTCTTCCACCACGCTGACCCCAACATGTCCGAGGAGGAGAAAGTCCGGTTGCTCATGCGAAGGGTGAAGCACGATCTCTCTGCTGGGCTGGTGCTGAACCCACCAAACACCATTCAAGAGTTTGTCTCAGAGGCCACGACAATTGAGAAGACTTTAGAAATGCGTACCCGCCAGTACGATCACCGATCGCTGCAGCTGTTCATGCCCTCCGCTCAGACAACATATGTGAAACGATCCGAGCGATCGTACAGGAAGAGCATGGTAAATGGTCACCGGCCTCACAGCATCCCGTAGACCCGATCGCCAACGTTGTACGCTAGGAAGTCCAGCAATTTTTCCGGACACCCGAACCAGTGCAGCCTGAGCCACAAGCCATGAGCTATGCTGCTGCAGCCCGCTGTCATGCCCCTCCTCCACCCCCATGCCGAAACGTTGCCCCGTAACACTTCCGTCGCGAGACGTCACCGCTGTCCTACCATTTGGCAGGGAGCCAGCGCAGTGCGCCGAGAAAAACCGATGTTTGGCGGGCACCTGAGTACTGCCCGCTCTGCTCCAAGAAAAACCAATGTTTGGCGGGCACCTGACAACTGCCCGCTCTGCTACCACTGCGGTGAGGCCAGGCACACCTACCGCCATTACCAGTACCGTCAAATGGGCCTACAGGGCTTCAGCATCAATGCGCCGTTCCCACAACGAGGTGAACGATCACATGACATCGCCGACTACCTTGCGGGAGCACAGTTGACACCCCAACGACCATATCGTTCGTTGTCGCCATGTCGCTACATCTCACCGCACCGTGGGCAGTACACCAGCTCTGTTCGGAGCCGAACTTCGAGCCCTTATTTGGAAAACTAAGGGCAGCAACTGATGGAGATGCGGTTGCTGTACGACCAACTACCAAAGATCCTTCGCCGCCGCCG